CTGGTTTATTCTGCATGGCCCTGTCGATTTTTCAACGGGTAAATATGTTAATGAGCGTTCTAGTTGACAATCATCTAAGCCAATCTCAGCGTCTTCAACTGACCTCTGACCGAGAATACGTCAGCCGAATTTTTTTTTAATTCTACGACTAGAAACTACATTAAAACCTACGTTTTACAGTTTCTATGCTACATTCTAAGCCTATTTACGACAACTACGACAAACTCTAATTTCAACGTGCCGCCTTGTTTGGTCTGCAGTGTGACCTTTACCATGTTGACCTTATTATGCACGTATTTCCGCGCCCACCTCATTATAATACGTGCAATTCATGAATATTTAATAGCAATGAATTTCCTGCAGAATAAACCAGTCAGGGTGATTTCACCCTAACACCTCCATTTCGCGATTTTTTTATTTTATTTAAACTACAAAAACAAATTAATCGCCCCGACTGCGCCAGTCTACATGTATGTTATGTGGTACCAGTACTACGTTTTGACACCCATGATTTTGATATATAGATACTACTTGCATCAATTGAAATAAAGTTTCTGCATCAACAAAATTACTTTTACTTTATCCAGGAAAGACATTTATTTTGAATTAGAGTCAAAGCTGTGTATAACAACCACCCAAAAAACGTCATTAATATGGTCTTTATATAGAGGTTGGATTATTTGTTTATGGATTGCCAACTCATACATTTGACATAATACAATCCAGATAATAATGAGATGGTACTGTTGCAACAAAAACACATTTATTTGAGTTAATCAAAATCAAATAAGAATTTGATTAGAATAATTGAAAATTGTTCAATACACAAAATGCTAATTATTATTTTGGTCTCCACAAAAAGTATTGCTGAAAGTGTGGTCACTTAGGATAGGCAGTTATTGTACTGATTGCTCATGTTATGCCTTGGGACTGCCTTCTAGTGGTCACTATAGGCAGGTGGTTATTATATTGAGGTGGTCACTAACGCAGTAGATGCAAAAACAATCCTTGATGAGCATGAGTTCCATGTAATTAATTAAATATTAATTAACTTTAGGAATTTTAATTGTGGTTGGATGTTGTAACCAGGTGTATTATATCAGTAATTTCAAAGCTTTAACACATACATACTCAAGAATATTAAATACATGTATATATTATTGAAGGTAACAAGTGTGAACCTTTTAACAGTGTATTATGTGATTTCTTTTCAAATGTGTGTTTTTTCTTTCTTTCTTTGCAAATATTTCAAATACTTGTAAACTTCCATTGTTGACTACATATTTCTAAATTTGGTTTGCACATTATTATGCGAGATTTATGACCAAATTTGTGTTTACTTGGTTGTATCAAATGCAAAATATCTCTAATTTTAATAGCATATTGAAATCCTGTGACTACTAATATCCAAATTCCAACTAAAACACAAAATATATATATATATATTTTTTGAAATGTGTGAAAGTGTTGCATAATCAGAAATAAAAGCAATATAACCTTTGAACAGATTAATATGTTTGTCTGGCTGTTTCATTTATATTAGAAGTAACTATTGTTTATTCTGTAGGTTAAAAATTGGATTGTTTTTTTTTTTGTCACGCATTGGCAAATTGTGTTTGACATCTATGGAATTGGATCGGTTCCCTGTGTACATGTAATCTTGGCCCATGTACGACAATGCATCTTACTCGGACATTGGTAGAGTTTGATTGGATCCCTGTGTAATCTTCCCCATGTACAACAATGTATCTCACTAGGACATTGGTAGAGTTTGATTGGATCCCTGTGTAATCTTCCCCATGTACGACAATATATCTCACAAGGACATTGGTAGAGTTTGATTGGATCCCTGTGTAATCTTCCCATGTACGACAATGCATCTCACTAGGACATTGGTAGAGTTTGATTGGGTCCCTGTGTAATCTTCCCCATGTACCACAATGTATCTCACTAGGACATTGGTAGAGTTTGATTGGATCCCTGTGTAATCTTCCCCATGTACGACAATATATCTCACAAGGACATTGGTAGAGTTCGATTGGTCCCCTGTGTAATCTTCCCCATGTACGACAATGTATCTCACTAGGACATTGGTAGAGTTTGATTGGATCCCTGTGTAATCTTCCCCATGTACGACAATATATCTCACAAGGATATTGGTAGAGTTTGATTGGATCCCTGTGTAATCTTCTCCATGTACCACAATGCATCTCACTAGGACATTGGTAGAGTTTGATTGGATCCCTGTGTAATCTTCCCCATGTATGACAATGTATCTCACTAGGACATTGGTAGAGTTTGATAGGATCCCTGTGTAATCTTCCCCATGTACGACAATATATCTCACAAGGACATTGGTAGAGTTTGATTGGATCCCTGTGTAATCTTCCCCATGTACAACAATGCATCTCACTAGGACATTGGTTGAGTTTGATTGGATCCCTGTGTAATCTTCCCCATGTACAACAATGTATCTCACTAGGACATTGGTAGAGTTTGATTGGTCCCCTGTGTAATCTTCCTCATGTACGACAATGCATCTCACTAGAACATTGGTAGAGTTTGATTGGATCCCTGTGTAATCTTCCTCATGTACAACAATGTATCTCACTAGGACATTGGTAGAGTTTGATTGGATCCCTGTGTAATCTTCCCCATGTACCACAATGCATCTCACAAGGACATTGGTAGAGTTCGATTGGTCCCCTGTGTAATCTTCCCCATGTACGACAATGTATCTCACTAGGACATTGGTAGAGTTTGATTGGTCCATTGTGTAATCTTCCCAATGTACGACAATGCATCTCACTACGACATTGGTAGAGTTTCATTGGTCCCCTGTGTAATCTTCCCCATGCACAACAATGCATCTCACTAGGACATTGGTAGAGTTTGATTGGTCCCCTGTGTAATCTTCCCCATGTACGACAATGCATCTCACTAGGACGCTGGCAAAGCAATAATGCCAGGTATGACAACACAGGAACAATAAAGGAAGTCACCAATTTGATATACCAGCTTATTATATTTGTGGAATTTATCAATATAGAAATTACAGATCTAACATTGTTAGATAATTTTATTCAACTGGTATGTTCATTGTACATATACAATATCATTTTAAGAAATTATTTTAATAAATCTGATAATTTCAGATACAACATCATTCAAGTTGCCATCAATTACACCACTGTGGTGAACTGGTTTGTGCAAAGCATTATTCAGTTCTTGATGCATTCCTGGTCGAGGATTAAGAGCTGCTAGCTGTTTGAATAATCTAATGGGGTCATCGGAGGGTGTATCCAATCCTATGCACTGTAACACTTCGGTAGCAAACTTGGCATAATGGGCAGTTGATGCAATAACCATTGGACAATCTTCATTATTGTGCCTATCTGCAACTGTTTTACCAACTGCAGTGTGTGGATCCATCAAATAACCTTAGTCAAAAAATAATACAAGTAAATATCATGCAGATATGCCAAAGGTCACTGGTCTTATTGTTTAATAATTCAACCATAATACTATCAGAAAAAAAATTGTGTAAGGTTTTCCCTTACTACACAAATCAGGGTTTTATTCAATGGATAAAATCCCTCTCTCTATAAATTTTTGTATACACCTTATACCAGAAGATATATGGCTCCCTCTGCTGACAAGAGAGGGCATCATGTTTCTTTTGACCATTTTAGAGATTATGCCTCTTAATAGTACAGCTGATATTTTATAGTTTGTAACATTTAACTGAAATACTACTACAAATTTGTGTAAGGTTTACCTTCACATGCAAACCGATCATTTGAAGTTGTATGTTCCTGAGGCCAAGGCAAGACAAGTTATCATCTTTCTTGACCAATTGGCCAGAGCCACTGCTTGTTGTGGTTCATAAGATGACAGCTTTTTAGTGGATTTAACAACATGGTAGTGAGTATACAGAGTATTCAGAAGACATTTTAGTGCACAGCAACTATGAGAAATTCTCCAGCAACCAGTGATTTCATTTACCTTGGTTAAACTTGGAACATACTTTCAATTTTGTGACACTTTATTTGTAAATGCTGTACGTCATAAACATAACACCATCCCATAAAACCATACATGTAAAGACCCTTACCTTCTTCCTTGAAGACACTACTAATAGTAGTGGCACACTCTTCTTCATTACACCAATCAGCAATAAATTCAGACTGAATTTTGTTAAGAATCTAACAAAAATATGGAAGGAAATCTGTCATTTAATAGAGCCTAAATTGTAGATCTAACTATAAGTATAACAGTCCACAGTGCATCCATATGAAAGTGCCATTTTGTATAACGAGTTAGAGTATTCCAATGAATAAATATCTCAACAAGTCATTGTTAATGACACAGTCCCCGTCTCAAATTTTGTGATCTGACATATCAATTTGATGCTGATGAAGTCATTGAGATTTGATTGAAACCATTAATAGGAGATGGATTTGTGGAAAATTATGATTTAGTGCTTTTACACGAGAATTGGACATTGGGCAGTCATATTGAATCAAATTACAAAAATAATGTTCATGTTGATGAATCTATTGGTATACTATCTTTGTACAAAATTTAAAGAGAAACGTTCATTGCATTCAAAAGAAAGTAGCATGTGTACCATGAAAAACAAAATGGCCACCAGTCGGCCATATTTGTTCCAATCACAAAAAAAATATGACATGCACCTATAACCCAATATTGTATGATCACCATACCAACTTTGAACCAAATCTGCCTAGTCATCTCTGAGAAACAGCTTCGGACATGTAAAAACTACGATTTCACACTTTTACATGAAAATTGGTCATTGGCCGGCCATATTGAATTGAATCGCAAAAATAACATTGGTGCACATTTATTCCTTGTATACTATCTTTGTATAAAATTTAAACAGAAACGTTCATGGCATTCAAGAGAAAGTAGCATGGGTACCATGAAAAACAAAATGGCCATATTTGTTTGAATCACAGAAAAAGTATGATGTGCACCTATAACCAAATATGTATGATCATCATACCAAGTTTGATCCAAATCGGCCCAGTCATCTCCGAGAAACTGCTGCGGACATGTTTAGGTATCAGAAATAGCAAATTTTACATCCAAAATGGCTGCCAGTCAGCCATTTTTCTCCAATCATAAAGTAACTTGATGCGCATATGTAAGACATTATGTATTGTCTTCATGTAAAGTTTGAATGAAATCTGTCAATGGGTGTCCGAGATAATAGTCCTCGTTTTCGGACTTCGTCCGAACCGGGACTAATAATATACTTAGGTCAAATGGTTTTGTTACAGACTAGTAATCTAGTGCAAATGTCTGGAAAATAGTTTAGAAATAAGTTTTGGATTATTTCCTGAAGCTAGATATAGAATTCATTTTATTTTTTAACTACGTGTACCGCGCCTGCTCTATTAACGTAAGTGGATGCATTACTAATACAGCAAATATAGTGAATAATTTGTTCAATTCTGTATCAACAACTGTCTTCACAAATGAAAGATGACATTCTTACCTCCTTTGAAACTGTAAAATATTTTTTTGTTTCCAGTTGTGCATAATAACTCCTCACTGTATCACCATCGCCATCGGTGATGAAATAGAGAAATCTGTGAACAGAGTTACTTATGCATTGCATAAACAGATGTAAACTGAACATACTTTCATACTGTAAAGACTTTTTGGTTGTTTTGTTTGGATTTTATTTTCACTGATTTTTCACGAGTTGAATGTAAAAAAAACAAAAGTTATATTTGCTGGATTTTATTTTCACTTAATTATTTCTTCAGCGAAAATAGCTAAAATGAATTCCAAACAAAAATAAAGTATTCTACAGTACATTATATTGCTGTACTAAAAAAAAAATTGTTTTTTTCTATAAGATCTTTTTTTTGTGGATTTAAATAAATAACCATGTAAGAAGTTTAAATATTTGCTAATAAAAGAAAAATTAGAAAATCATATGTCTCATACATTTCATACATGTATCGTAAAAGAAATGGCTGAATAGCTTATTTATAAATTACTTACAGAGAAAAACAGAAACCACAAATTAAACAGCTAACAATTCGACTGACAAGGTCATTGTTGAATTAAAAGCCATTAAATTTTTCGCATACCTGCAGGTAAAATTATTCAAGTGTATATATAGCCGGGGACGTTGAGGTTTGTAAATATTTCACTAACCTTTCTAAGTTAGAAGACTTCAGTATATCAATGGCTGGAGACATTGAAGTTTGTAAATTTCTTGATCTTAAATCATACACACCAGTTTTGAAGAAATCAGTCAGGACATTGTTACTATTTGAAGCACATATCAGTCTTCGAATTGGTATTCCCATAGCCTGCCATTGAGTAATTAATGACAATACATAATTTATGGACATAAAAGTGGTTTATCTGATATATGGTCACTGATCACTGAGGGACTGAACATATAAGTTAAAGCAGACATTCATTTATCCCCATGCAACCCCACCCTCATGAAAAATTCATTAGCACATAGATCATGGATTTATTCAATCAGGTGTTTCTAATGAATACAGAATACAATACAGTAATTAGTTGGTGATAT